AAAGAGAATTAGCAATTAGACATGAAAAACAAAGAGAAATATCACAAAACTTACCTAATTCAGTACAAATTAATGAACAAGAAGAAGTACAACAAGGTCTATTAAAAATTTTACAAACTATTAATGATGTTAAAATTCGGTGGGGATCATCTCTAGCCTCTTGGAAAAGATTACAAGAATTAAAGAATCCTATTAAACAGGTTATTTTAAATTTAAGCTTGGAAGATAATTATGAAGCCAAGAAAGATTATAAAAAACTAAAGAATCGATATCTTAAAGATTATGAATGGGATCTTTTAAATAAATTAATTGACATTTTTAAACCAATTAAAGAAGCAACAGAATGGTTAGGTAGACAAAAATATTGTACTCTTTCTTCAATGTATCCAACTATTTATACATTAAAATATGATTATGTACTAGATATATTATTAGAAGATGAAGAAAGTAATGAAAACAAGAGAAGTTGTAAGTAATTAATATATATACTTTACAAATTTAATTAGCATTATGATTACAATCAATAGAGATTTAGATTAATTTTTTAATTATTTTAGATGAAGATAGTAATGATGATGATGATACTATGAAAGAGAATTCTGAAAATGAATCTGATGATGAAGAAGTAGTAGAGCAAGATGATTTTCAAAATAATTCATATCACATTAATATTATTATTAACTCAGTTAAAAGGGCAATTTATAATGCTTTATTTGATTATTTTAATACACCACCTAAAGCTGCTTTGCTTGCAAGCCTTTTAGATTCAAGATTTAAGAAGATGCGTGGATGGCCTGAAGAAGTACGACAAAATGCAATATTATTACTTAAAGAAGAATATTTATTATTAAAAGATAAAGAAATTACTACAATTAAAGAAAATACAAGGGATACAAGATTTACTTTTCAAACAGGAAGATTTAAATCACGATTATTTGGATTTGAAGAAGTAGATGAAATAAATAATGGTGAGTAATATATAATTTTTACATTATTATTCTGATTTCTTAAAAATTAAATTTATTATTTTTGTTTTTTATAGATGATGAATTTAACTGTTACTTGGATAATATTAGAACTCCACATGCACTACCTGAAATAGATCTTCTCCAATGGTGGATTAATCATGAATTAAAGTTTCCAATACTATTTAAATTAGCTAGAAAGTATTTGAGTATTCCAGCTACTTCTGTTCCAAGTGAGCGGCTTTTTAATGATGCTAGAAATTAAATTACCAGTAATCGAAACCGATTAAAACCTGAAACAGTTAATGAGTTATTATTCATAAAAAGAAATAGTGAATATTATAATCCTTTTGTATAAATACTTTTATTTTTTGATTTGTTTTATATAATAAATAAATAGTTTGATTTGCTTTTACAATTTTAATCAACATTATAATATAAAGAATAAATTTAATTGATCGATCATTGATCGATCAATCATTACTTGAATATATGCATTTTATTTCTTCGAATTGCTTCAAATCATAATATCGATCATGTGATCGATGAATTAAATAAATTGATTATTGATCGATCACGCAAATGTATAATCAGCCAATTAATCGGGCACAACTTTTTGGGGGCAATTAAATACCCTAAGTTTAAGCTTAATAACATCAATAAATTCTAGTTATATTTAGTTATCAGTTTGTTAGCCTGTTAGCTTGTTAGTGATTAGCATATTTTATACATATTCAATCGGAAAATTTTCATAATAATGAATTACCTAATATTCCATTCATACATTCGAAAGAAAAATACCAGAACGTATACAATGACTCATAATCAAATGATCAATCATATAAATAAAAGATAAATAAATATTTAGCGTAATTTTACACAATATTTTTAGTAGTTATTAATTGTGTAACTTTGTCTATAAAATCTTATATACTTGTATATCTTGTATATTGTATTCATTTTTTTATTACTATGGATTTTTGTCTAAATATCTGCCCTATTTGTCTTATTTGTATAAATATGTAAAAAAACTTATGGTGATAATTGTTTATGCATAACTAACAAAGTTTTTAAAAAAAAATTGAATGAGAATATGAAGTTGATTTTTATTATTTATTTTTATTACAAATAAGAGCAACAAAACAAAAAGTAAAATTTGACATAAATTTTATTAATTGTTTTCAAGTTAAAATTTATTCACAAATTAAAATTTTATCATCTTATTCAAAAGTTAATATATGCAAAATATGTTTGAATAAATATAAATTTAATGTCTAATAAAGGTATTATTTCTAAAATATCTAAAATATTTATTGTATTATATATATATATCTTAACTAATTTTAAAATTTCAATACAGATAAAGTGAAAACTATAAATTTAACTATAAATTCTACATTTGAAATTAAACATAAAGAACCTTTTATTAAAATAATTCAACCAATTACTAAAGAAGTTCTTTATTTAAAAAAAAAAATAAAAAAATTGTATCATGTAAATATAATAATTTATTTGTGTTCTAATATATATTTTTTAAATAATAATATACTTGAATTATTATAATAGATTATATAGGAGCTTTGTAATAAAAAGGAAGAAAATTCTAAAAAAAATTAAAATTTTACTTTATAAGTTAAATATGTTTTTTAGTTAAATAAGTTCAAATTTAATATTATTTAAAAATTTATTACATAATGTAAAAAAAATAAGTACAATTATATGTTTATTCTAAAAAAATAATCAAAAAAAAAGAAATAATATATGGAAGTTCTATAATTGATAAAGAATTACAGGAAAACTTTTTTAAAGAAAAGTTTGAGTATTTTATTTATTTATGAATTATTATTTTTTTATTTATACTATAATTATATTAATAAATAAAAATGAATCTTCAGTATTGAATATGATAAAACAAGCTATTTATAATAATATTATATAATATGAATATCATATTCAAGGGTGTTTAATAATTAATGATAAATATCATTTAAATTTGGATAGTGAAATAATTATTCTTTACATGTGTGATAGTAATTATAATATTTATTTAGTAAAAATTGTGACTTAAAATAATGATTTATATACTGTATTATATAGGTTATAAATATGAAAGCAATAAATGCAATAGCTTTACTATCAACCTTTAAATTTAATAGAATCAAATATCATTTTTTTAATACTAAATAAGATAAGAATATTTTAATAATATCTTAATCAACAGTATATAAATTATTTTTAATTTAATTTTTATATTTATAAAATTAAACTAAATATTAATTTATTATTATATTAAAGATTTCTTAATTTTAACTTTAAATACAACTAAACAATCATATCTTAATTTAATTATACTTAATTTTAAAAAATTCTCTGTATAAATCAAATATTCAAATTATTAAAGAAATGATCTTTTAAGATCTTATATTATTTATATTTCCTTCTGCTCTTTCAGAAGGAAAATAATTTATTGCTAAATTATCACTTGAATTAAATGGAAAGCAATTTTTACCTGATCAAGTATTAGAAGAGATTTTTTTTGAAATACATGATAAATATGAATTGATATTAAAAAACATATATTGATTATAATAAATTATTTAATGAAAATGACTAAGTTATATTTTTTTTTTGAAAAAAAATTATTTTTTAATTAATTCTATTGATCATTCTCAAAATTAAATTCTTAAAGAAAAACTTGATTTTTATAATCAAATTAAGAATTATTATTGTAAATAATTAATAAAATGTATATATTTTAATAAATATTATAATAAATATATTTTATTATTAATCATGCTTTTATATTACTAATCAAAATTATTTCATTACACTAATACCTTTTAGTATACATTCAGTTGATTCAGTCATATGATTTGGTAAAAATTTAGCTTGAGTTATAAAAATTGATAGTTATTTATTACATCACATATAATTTAGTATTATTTTAATATTAAACTTTTCGATAAACATTCAGCCGATTTAGTCATGTGATTCAGAAAAAAATTCAGCTTAAGTTACAAAAATCAATAGAAATTTGTTATATTACACATAATTTAGTATTATTTCAGTATTAAGAACCTTTGTTAAACATTTATACTGTTACCAGCTAAAAATTCACTATTAAATGATTTACAGAAGTTACTGAAATTAATTTTATATTAATCACAAATTGGAAGATTTGCATAATTCTGGATGGATTCATAGAATTCTTAAGATTCATAAAATTCATCTGATAAGCCTTATAAGTTGGATAATTATTATAATGCTTATTTCCATTATTTCCATTATTTTTATTATTATTATTATAGTTATTATATCTGTTATTATTATTATTATCATTATATTAGCATTTGTAACTACAAATTTAGTTAGTTTATAGCGTAGCAACTAGTTAGTAGTAGCAAATTAATTTTGTATAAATAGAATAGCATTTTTGCTTTAGTTGTAAATTAGCTCTTTTACAAGTTATTAAACTCTTTTGCAAGAACTTAAACTCTCTTATAAGTTCTAAAATACTTGTGAGTTTCAAGTAATAAATAAAGGAATCAACTTTGAAAAATAATTATTTTTTCCTTTTACATGTTTATTATCTAGGATTTGATCATGAACTGATATACTAACTTGCTTTTGAGTTTGTCACTTAAAATAAACAAATTCTCTACATTTTTCTCTAAGTTTCTAAACCTTTAAGTTCGTAAAGTCAAGTAAAGTAATTCTAAGGCATTTTGGATATTCCTTAAGGTTGTAAAATCTGATGATAAGAAATTTACTTGCCACAGTAAAGTAATTTAGTGAAACACGTGTAATACAAAGAGAATTATTCCCAGTGATAATACATAATCAAAATGTATGACAGGTTATGTCGAAAAATATTTTTTTTGAAAAAGATCGATATAATAATCAGCATATGCATTACCGATAGTTTTCTAGGAATCTTTTTTTTAAAACCAAACCTTAATAAACTTTATATTTAGGCTTATATATTATATATGTAGGTATATTTTTACTTGTACTGCAAGTTTACTTAAGTCAGCAGGTTGGATTTTGCAGTAAGATTTAACTTAGATGCTTTTTTTGAAAAATGTGTTATATACTTTAAGCCATATAATCGGCATAACCTATCACACATTTTAGACGTGTAAAATTCAGTTAATTCAATTAAATGATTTGGCAAAATTTGGCTTGGATTACAAAAATCAATGTTAATTTGTCACATTATACATAATTTAGTATTATTTTTAGCATTAAGATCTTTTAGTTATAATATTTAGCAAAATTTCAGCTACATTTAAGATTTGACAATAAATTGTGTGTATATTTGTGTCTTACTTCTATGCTTATCCTTATAGACTTATACATAATCATATACTAAAGAATAACTAAAATTTGTTGAAAGAAATACAACTAGTATGGTAAATTTGGAAATTTTTGTCTAAGTAAAGGTATTCTATACATATTACTATAATTTTTTAAAAACTCATATATTTTATATGCTAAACTATAATTTACTTCAACACAATTCATATTTTTAGGACTATTTCCTATATTATCATGTATATGTTCTTCAAGACCATATTCTTGTAAATGTTTTTTAATATTATTTAAATAATGATGACTACTTCAACAAGAGCAAGGTATGTAATTGAAAGATTATTATTAAAACAAATTAAAGCATGAATATTTTTTATTTTTAGTTATTTCTTTATCCTTTTAAAAAGCCATAAATTGTCTTTTAATAACTATATCCCATATAATAATTTTGTCTAAACCTTTGAATTCTGCTTGACATTTAAGAAATTATTCATAGCTATTTTTTCAAAACAATTAGGATTACATTTTCCACTTTCAAAAACCTTCTTATCTTATAATTTCAAATGATCATAAATCTTATCTTTGATATAATTGTTAGTATTTTCTAAAATTCAAAGTTATTTTAATGTAAATTTTCAAAATTCTTATTCATAGACGTTATTTCTTAATCAGATGTGTTTTCATTATCATCTGTATTTTTTTATTTTCACAACTTGAATTTAAACAAAAAAAGTATTTTCCAGTTCTTTTAAGGCAGATAGATAGTATAGTATTATTCTCATTCTTATTGTCATTATTAAAATATATACCATATTTCATATAATTTTAAATGAAAATAGCAAAGGTTTTTACAATGAAAAAGAAAAAAAGATCAAGTTTGTGCCAAATTTTGCGCCTTTTTACTAAGAGTATAAGTAGAAAATTATATTTTCTGAAAGGTTAGACTCGTTGTCACGTGATCAAGAAAAATTTCAAAATCTGATCGATCGATATATCACCCCCTTTTGCTGTGGTGGTCCCATATATTATTATGATTTACTTAAATAATAATTAATAAATTGTAATAAAATCGGAAAATGATCAGCAAACAAACAAAACAAAAGGGGATAATGAGATTTAAAATTCAAATTTTTAATTTCAATTTTATCAGATTATTTCATCGACAATATTTATTTTTTAAAAATCTTTATGATTAATAAATATATTAAAAGAAATCACTACAAATGCCAAAAATAATTTAAACTAACTTTTAAAAATTATTGATCGTAAGATGCTTTATTAATAGTACAAGAATAAAATGCAAATAATATGTTAAAATGAGCAAAAGCAGTTAAAAAAGCTTTGAAAGTATTAAAAATTGGTAAATGATAAATGATATCAAATTATAATAAAAAAAAAATGAATCCAGAACATGGAAAAATTTTAAAATTTAATAATTTCGATCACCCAAATCAGCAAAACGTATTATCACATCACATCATGTGGCCGCACAGAAATTTGGTTTGGAAATAAAATATTAATTTAATAATATATTAATTCTATACTGAACTGATAATGTAATGATTTAAGAATAAGATAGATTTTTTTTATTTATTTAAAGTGTTGCACTCAAAATAACTTTAAAAAACGTATGGTATAAATCTTTTCCGTTGACGAAAGTAAATATCCCATTTCAAACCGAAATGATTTTTCAATACCATTTCTTCATGAACGACTCGTCTGTAAATCGTTACAGCTAACAAACTTACTTGAAAAGCTTTAAACCACAGACTTGATAGAATGTTACTCAATTGGAATGGAAAGTATACAGGAATATAACTAAATAATTGAAAATTCAATAGAAATAAAAAGACCCATTTCAACATAACGCCAGTATACTGTTTGAAATCAAGTTAAAACATTAATTAGTATATACTGATTGCATTGAGAAAAAGGTTCATATTTAAAAGTACAAAATATACTTGCCGAAGGGTGAGCCAATAAAGAATATGGACCTTTAGCGATTAATTCATGCTCTTTTTTTATCATGACATTAAAGGTGAAAAATGCTTTCAAAGTATCAAAACACCAAAATCGTAGTAAGCATCCAACAAAGTTACACAAATGACAAAAAATTTCCAACCGGTTCCATTCAGAGAATTTATGATTTACATCAGGCAATATCGGTATGGAACCATTTTCTTGTTGATACATAACATAAAGATAAAGCGATGTTTGAGTTATAACCAAAACACTGAATAATTTGGGAAGTATATCAGATACAATAATTCCTTTTAAACTTTTTCTTGTTAAAATTTCTTTAATGGGAATATAATTTGGAGGTGTCGATGCTTTAACGACAAGATAAGTTTGAAAAAGTATCGCAAGGATTTTTGAATACATTTTGAAAAATTTTTAGAATAACGTCAATAGATTAAATTCACTTGTTTGTTTTTTAAGAAAGACGATTAATGGTTTTTGATATTCAATTTATATCTCATTTTTTTGTGTGAATGGAAAAAATATTTACGCGTAATATCATTTAAATGCTCATGATAAAATTAATATTGAACCAATAAAGAACGATATTATTTCACCATGCTGTAAATTCAATAATTTTTGAAACATTCATTTTTATTTCATATAACGATAATATTGTAACAGTTATAAATAAATGAATTTTCATTAGAGTTCCCCGTATTGATTGCGCCTAATTTATCGTTGCGGTATTGATTATCTGTTTAAACTGTATGTTAGATCTGTTATTGAATTGCTTATCAGTCCATCAACCGTGATATTGAAATTTTTAAGAGGAGAATTCCGTAACAAAGCCATGGATGGAAAAATTATTATAAAAAGACTTCGTTTTGTCTTAAATTTTCGATTAAATAGTACTCCTTCTTAATCGCTTATAACTGTATTACTAAAAACCTTGTTTTTTTTTCTATTCGTTTGTTATAAATTGCCAAGTGATCGACATTTTACTAAATAATATTGACCCTGTACGACATACTTTCTTGACCCACAATGTCGATCCTTTTATATGTGGGTCAAGAAGGAAATTTTTGCCACACAAGGTTACACCTAATTTTGATAGTCCAACCTTATATGATTCTATCCAAATAAGCTTTCCGGATATCTGCCATTTTCATAATCGTTAAACATATTTGTATATTAAAAAATATGAAAAAAGTATGTTTCGTTATAAAGTAATTAAAGCTAATTTATTTAGAAATGCGTAACTCCATAATTAAATTCATTGCACCTTTCATGTATTAATAAACAAAAAAAATTTTTTTATCCAAATATAATTAATATTATTAATTTAACAAGAAAAAATTTTTTAATACATAAAGAATTTAGAAAATACTGAAATCAAAGATGACTTCATTACAGAAAAATATGTTAAACATGTAAAATTTATTCTCAGGAAGAATCTAAACCAAAAGAACAAATAATTTAACCGGAGTATTTTTAGGCTTTTAATACGCATAAATAAAAAATCGAACATCACTAATGGGGACAAATTATTATCAAACAGGAATTTTATTATATCCGGTTCCTAACTTATTCCTTTTGGTCAATATCGTTATTATTACTAGCGTTCCGAACCGGTCGGGTCGACCCGGGTTATTGAGCCGAGTTAAGTTTTCGAGTCGTAATTTTAAGGCACGCCGGGTGATCGTATGATTATGATTTGTACTACAAGAGCAATTTAAATTATGCAAACTTCTTTTTTTTTGTTTACTTTATTTATATATACTCTGGAAGTGAAAGAAGTACTTGAAAACGAAAAGCTTTACGTAGTGAACTTTTTATCAAAAAACTTTTTGAAGAAATGATCTTCCATTTATACTTAAACTCATTGAGAAGTAAATTACTTGGCTGTTCGTATGTATTTTTAAAATATTTATATTATTTATATTATTTATTTTTTTTTTAACAAAATATTTAGAATAAATCCAGGTAAATTTTTCGATGCAATAACCTAGCATTACATTAAACAATATACTGTCGTACATGTATAATAAGTAAAAAGTGTTTATATATTCTACAAAGCTGACGGATATACATTGTAATAAACATTATATATTTTATATAAATAAATCCATTTTTTTTTTTTAAAAAAAAAAGGAAGCTTATAAATGATATGTTTTTGTGTAATTTTTTTTTGTTGTTCGTACGTTATGTTTTTAACTTATTTTTTAGATTTTTCGGATTTTTTAATTTATTTATTTTTCCTTATCAATTTACTCATTTAGCACATTTAATATATTTTTAATGACTTTTATTCAAATTTGACACTAATATTAATATTTTCTAGGTGTATATATGCTTTACATTATAAAAATAAATCTAGTTACTTTTCATTGACTCGAATCCAACATCATCCCAAGTTAAAATGATTTTTAACAAGTTTTATAAATTTATATATTATTCCAAATATATTTATAAATAATGATTCAAATTTTTTTAAATTTCTAATGCGAGAAATTTCACATCAAATTTTCTGAATGGCGTAAATAGTGCAATCAAATCAGAAAAACTCGAGCGTGAAATTGACTTGTAAAAAATATTCGTAACGTATCTAAAAATTGTCCTTTTTTTTTTTAATTAATTTGTTATTAATTTAGTAAAACTTCTACTCCTTTTACACACGGGAAATTATTATTTAAAATATATATATAACTTGGACCAGGAGCGATTATAGTTGGATTTGGAGGTAATTCAACGGTTAAAATATATTGATCGGCAGTGGTAGTATCTGTATAAGCTTCTTTAACAACTAGGCCTACATATCTTTGTCCCATATGTTGTGAATGAGTTACGAAACCATTATGTATAATGGCAGCTGTGAACGATGTAATTTCAGATTTAGGTAATTGAACAACTATTGATGCTGTATTTCCATAAGTGATAGGTATTCTTCCTTGATTTACTATATATCCATCAATTGTGACGATCGATGGACGTGATGCACCGGTTAAAAGGTAAGGTGGATTGAAAATTTCAGCTCGATATCTATTTTTTTTTTTTTTTTTTTTTTTTAAGAAAGAATGGAATTGAGTTATTTTTTGTTTTTTTTTTTAAAAAAAAAAAAAAATAAATATTTTTACGGTAAAAACTATACGTACTCTGTTGGATATAGAACATCTGTTGCAACGTTACCCTGTGGATTGCTACCAGCAACGAAAATACTTCCATCAGGAATTAAAGTAGCAACAGAATGATACATCCTCGCAATGGATGATGGATTCATTTTTGTGTATATTTTCGTAGTTGGATTATAAAGTACAGGATTATATGTGGGATTATTATTAGACCATAAAGGATTCGTTTTTGCACCCTTACGAAAACCAGCATAGCCTGTTCCGGCTCCATTCAAGAATATAATTTCACCGTTTACCAATATGTTCGAATCAGGCATAACACGAGGCAGACCACCAAAATCATCCATTGTCCAAACAGGTTCAGCGGCGTTTAGATCCATCCTACCACAAGAAGCATCAGCAGCTGAAAGGATTTCATATTCTTTTTGACCTCCACAAACCATGACTTCAGTTAAATAATTAGTTTCCGGATATAAGGGTAATATTAAAGAAGTACCAGTTTGAGGATAAGTACGTTGAACCGCTATTTCTGGGTAGTTTTTAACAATGGTAGCTGTGTCTAAATCGTACAAAATGCTTTGTTTATTTGCAAGTACAAATATGAGATTCTTGTTCTCAGAGTTTGGTACCAAATGAAGCATTACGTAAAGATTATAAGGGAGGGTATCAATAAGGAATTGGAATTGAACTTCGGGATCTGGTGTTACACCATCTGTGGGTGGCCAAATTGTATAGGTAGGATTGTTTATCTCTGCTCTGTTAAGACCTGTACCACTGATAGATCCTCCCAATATCATAACTTTTCCATTCGCTAAACTATTTATGGAAAGAAGTGAATCATTTATCATTTATTTCATTATTATTCTGATTGTTATTATTATTATTGAAACTTACGACAACATTGTTGGATACCATCTTTTTGACGTCATTAATCCGATTATCTCAACCCAATCACCGACTGCGGGATCGTAAAATCGTAAAGTTTGTTGTCCGGCTGCAAGGAATTTGTTACCGTTATCGCCTCCGGTGTGAAGCATGGTTCCGTTTCCTAACCAAGAGCCCGCTGAGCAAAAGGTATCAGAGGCGACATCAAGTATGCGAATTTCATTTGTATCAAGATTCCATTCAGTTGAAACAGCTGGTTGACCATTTGCTTGTTTAATTTGGTTGTTTTGAACTAGAAAGATTTTAAATTCGGATTATTATTTGGTAATAAGTTGATGGATGGTATATCATGACGATTATGGAGAAAATATTAAAAATAATTACGTTTATCGATTAAAACAATCTTGTTGGGCGCTGACAGAAATATGTGCATTGCGTTGACACCCGTGCTGTTTATTTATTTATTTTATTAAAAAAAATTCGCGATTTAATAAATTAAACACCTTATTTTTTTTTAAAAGGAAACAACCGGTTACTTACTTTCCAATGATTTGCCATGTTCCGCCCGCAGCATCTCCAGTTGTAGGAACTTGTCGTGCTAAATTTGTTAAGGTATGATTATAAAATTAGCGAATTATCGTGCATAAATGTGAAACAGAAGATTTAAGTTTGGATTTGTTAATTAACCTTGCATTGGAAGGGCCAAAACATTGTTAATCGGTAGAAGTAAAGTTCCAATAAGGAATAATAATAGACAACAATTTCTCATATTTATTATTGTCACGAAAGTTTTAAAAACGATTTGATTTTTATTTTTTTATCTTTTAATAGTATAAACAGAAAAAAAAGAAAAATGTTTGTTTCTTTGGAATTATGAAAAATGAAATTTGCGGTTCTTTTATACTTGACCACCTTTTGATAGTGGTAATCACAAGGAAAAAAACACATATTTATCAATGACATAATTTAATCAAATCTATTTTGATCAAAGGATTTACGCTTCTGTTGGAGTAATTTTTTTCAAAAATATCAAACAATTGAGAAAATTTATATTAAAGTAATTAATTACTTCATTGTTAAATGAATTTGACTGAAAATAATATAATGTAGTGTAACTAAATGGAACAACCGCAAAGGTATTATTACTGAATAATTTGAACCCATTTAGATAGATTTTTCAAAACTTTAATCTGTTGCAGCGGTAAAAGGTTATACTTTTTAAATCGGAAAAATTTTTTTCAATATTTTTTATTGATATAATGAATGAAAAAAAAAATAAAGTTTACTTTGCTATTTCAGGTTAGAACATTTTCATCCTACAGATCATTGAATTATGAGTTAGAGATTGGAACCGGTTAATTTTTAACCGGTTAATTAACCGGTTAAGGATTTTTGGGCCGGTTCCAACCTCTATTATGAGTTGTTTACCCGACCTGATTATAGTTAACTCGTAAAAAACCACGAGTGTTACGTAATATTTATGCCGAGAATCGAATATAACATCTGGTCAAGCAAAGGACCCGATGAGCAGATTTTAATTAAGGTCTCAAAAAAAAAAAAAAAAAAAAAAAAAAATAATAGAATTTAAAATTTTTTCTGTAGAAAAAAAAATTTGTTTTCTTTATTGTTTTCAATTACAATTTTAATTCTATGTGTTCATTTAAATCTTTACATTGTTTCGTGAGAGCGCTAATTTTTTTTATTGAAATTCAAATTTCACCTAAATAAAAAAGAAATGTGTCCCCCCCATAATTAAAATTGATTTCAAATGCAAAGGTTGCACAATTTTAAATTAAATCTTGAAAAAACGTATGTTATGCACGAGAAATTAATGTCATTGCGCTATTTTTTGTTTTTTATTTGAACAATGAACCTGCACGCCACATGTAATGAAAAAAAAACACTGATAATCGCTATATTTGGTTAATCTCTTTCCACAAATTTTGCTATATTTAGTTGATCTCTTTTCGCAATTTTGGGTTATTTTTGAAAGGTCGCTATTAAATTTATTGAATGTAATATTACTGGATTTTGAATAAATAAAAAAAGTATTGCTATTGCTATTTTTGTAATTTGTCACGGTAAAAGTTTTTTTTACCTTTTTTTTATTTAAAAAAAAAATTATCTTTATAAAACCTGATTTTCTTATTCATTCAAAATGTCATCCACAATTCCCAATGAATAGAAAATGAAATGATTTTCGAGTTTCTTGATCGTAGGGTATTACTATCCTGCTTATTGGTTAACTGATTTTGGTGTAAAGTTTCAGTGAGGTTTTTTAGGTGAATTTAAATTAGACGATTGACGCCCGAAATTAAAATTTTTAAATATATCCTTCTCATGCATGAGAAAGATGTTTAAAAGCAATCCTTAATGATTGTCAGGAAGGACTTGAAGTGGATTCTTTCCTAAATTCTCTTGATGAAAGCATAGATAAAAAAGAACAGCTATTTCTGATTTATCGGGATTTAAATTGGGGAGAAACATACTCCCATCTCAATAATAATAAATGGAGAAAAAGGTTTAACGACAAAGGAACAAAGTTAACAAATTATTGAAAGATATATATTGTTGGCCAAAATAAAAAGTTATGAACTTAAAAATAAAAAAAAATTAGCACTAGCCGATGTCAATACGCGAAAAGCGCAGTGACTGCGGTGCAATCAAATTACTTATTTTACATATTTATTTATATTACATATTTTATTTATTATTTAACACTCTGGCTACCATCGGAATTCTTCTTAGAGTTTTAGTTAGAATTTTCTAGATTGTAATGATAAGCTTTGAGATAGACTTTGGGAACTCTATAATTCAATAAAGTTTTTATTTTCCCTTCAATCTACTTCGTGTCTTCATAAATTTGCATGCTGCATCAATCTTCTTCGGACGGCCTTGGTTAGATTTAATTCATTGTTGTTGACTTGATTTCGATATGATTTCCGGCAAAAACCAGTTTTACGAAAAACTCGCTATTTACAAAATCTCCCACCTTTAATTTTTTTTTTAATTTTTATTTTCTTTACATTTAACATATAATAATTTTTATTACGTTTTTCTTAATAGAATGGGTATGGAATCAATTTAATAAAGTGCTTTTAGTTGCATGCACTAAATAAAATTTTTATTGAAAATTCAAGTTTCAGTTTAAGTTATAAACACTGTTTTTGTAGAAATTCGTTATCACGTGAAAATCACGTTATAATCTTTACGAAATCTCAAATACTCCGGTCTATGACTAAAAATAAGAGAAATTAGCAATCAAAATTGACAATGGATTCCTTATATATAAGCATTTTCAAGATAATTATTATTCCTGTATAGTTTTGTTGTACATTCTATATACCAAATTTTGAATATATAATCGCTTTCATAAGTATAGTGTTGATTTTTGGTAATTTTGGTTTTGGTATATTTTTGGTAGCACTATTATGGTCTATGTGCGTTAGATATAATAAATCCAAAACCAGTAAAGGACTCGAGGTTCTTTTAAATTCAACATATTAATAATTTCTTGAACAGGCAGTCAATCATGGATGAGGGGTCTTCTAAAAAGTCTTGCAGAATTTTCGAAATCGGTTAAGAACTCGTTGTACATAAAATTAGTTATGATATTATAATAAAAATATATATAAATATATATCCTAGCAATTTTTTAAATTGTTCATATTGTTAATTTATATTTTAAAGAGATTTATTTTATTACATATGGTTGAAAATAATTTGATAATGTTTTTTAATATAAGAACAAGAGATGATATGTTTTGTGAGACGATACATTGTACTTTCAAAAGTGAATTTGATCTATGATTTTTTTTTTAAGACTCAAATAAATTTATATTTTAAATAAGGTCATAGGAAAAAAATATATTTCGTGGTCGTTAATGTTGTGACATCTAAACTCAATTACTGCTACTGCTACCTCCTATTTACGTAAGAGAGGTAATTAATTATAGTTTTGGTTTAGTTTATGTAATTCCGATGTAACGAAAATAGCATGTAAATAAGTTTTTAATAATAAATAAAAAAAGAAATGAGTTTATTAAATAAAAAATGAGAAATTTTGTAACTATTACTGCCTCTGGCGGCGCTCTTTAATAGGCCAAAGAGAATAGAACTATCCTATTTCAAACTGTTCAAATCCTATCGCTAAGTAAGTGCAAAACGAAGCTATTTATTACAAAAAGTTCCTTCCCATGGTACTTTCGCCTTGGATGGCGGATATGCCAATTAATTGATCCCTGATGTCAAAAGTGGTCATTACGACATACATTTTTCATCTTGCCAAGGAATCCCAAAGGTCCGAAATGTCAATTCAAACAGATCCACCAGAATTCATAGTCGACAATTTGGCGCAGTCAAAACCCGAGGGTGACACTACGCTTTCGATTTGCAAGGAAACATTCCTCGATTCCCTCCTCCCGAGATTAGCTATCCCGACCTAGAATATGTACATTTATATAGCCGGGACTGTCAGTAAAAACTGATCCGAGAATTCTGCTCCTTTTAGATCATAAAACCATTAAAATATCCTAAGGCGAAATGGTTGAACTCCTCAAGATTAATAATCCAGTTATATGTTGAATCGCTTATACTTTGCATTAGGGATGGTAACGGTCGGTCATGGTCGGTTCACGGTCGGTCAACGGTCGGTCAAAGCCCTTTGACCGAACGACCGGTTGACCGACCGGTTTTGCTGACCGGCCCATTTAACAATAATATAATTTAATTTCTTGATTGATAATTTTAATTTATGCTTTAAATAATACTAACATGGCATTTGCTAAAACTTACTATTTTACTTTCTTTACGTATTTCTTTTAGGCAAACTTAATATGCATATTAAGTTTACTTTCATATTTTTAGTGATGCAGCTTATCGCGATCTTTTTTTTTAAGAATAAATTAAAATTTTTTATTTTTAAAAAATAACATCACTAAAATTATTGTTAATTAAAGCAAAAAATTCTTGGATTACTAATTAAAAATGTTGGTCAATCAGTCGGTCAAAATTGGTCGGTCAACCGGTCGGTCAGTAACCTTTGACATCGGTCACGGTCATGACCGGTCATAACCGTAAGCATTAGCATCCCTACTTTGCATTGCGGAGGTTAGGTTCCTTAGTATAAAACTATTTTATAAACACAGAAGTGCCACATAAGTGTTTCACTTGAATGAATTTAACCTTTATGTTGATATTGACCCATTTCGCTGTGGAAATGTGCGATGGTAGACCTCCACCGCTTCAAGGTACCTTTTAACTGAGTTCGCTTCACGTAAAATCTCAAGGTATTCTTTATCAACCACTCTCTCAGCAGATACGCATTTGAAATAGGGAATTATACCGAGTCAACAGAGAAGTGCCGTGGGCCGACTTTAAAATTAGCATTTGATTTATTAAAATTTTTCTTGTTCATGATGTTGATGAACGCAACGCTGTTATAGTTTGCTCCTCAAATTGGGTTCGTCCACATTTATTTCAATCTCTATTCGTCGTAGTGAGTACACGTAGTAGTGGTTAATGAAACGTACAGTAGTAAGTAGTTGTCAAACAGAAAATATTTGAAAATTATTTCACAAAATCAAATCATATACTTGGTCTAATCAATTACGGAATGAATATGTGAAGCATCTCCAGAAAAAATAATGTATGTTGACGATTGCCAGTTACGGGTAGTGTAACGACGACATCGTTTCACCGATGTGAAAGTGAAGATAGATCACTTAAATGTTAAGTCTACAGGACCCTTGATTACATCTTTAGCTGATATCACATTGAATTTTTGTTTTTAAATTGTTCTTATGAGTTCGTGAAGTCGAAATCTGAAAGTTTGTCAGCGCCGTCGCAGTGATCACGATAAGCCAACACTAATTTTAATACTTGGATTCGTTCGTTCCATGTAGATTACTACATATATATGATGATGCAATCCTTGTCAGCGGCAATGAGTCTATACATAGATCCGGTACAATTCAAGACGTTGCAAGTCATCATTCATTGTGGATTTGATCCTTTAAGCATTGATGATAGTCTTTTCTCGTAATGATTTAGTATGACTTACTAATGTTTTATCGCTCATAAAACGATCATTACTACACTTCCGCGGCATAACGTTCGAGATGACCATTTCGGATTAGTGAAGAGGGGATAGAATTGGCATTTGTTGTGCTAGATGACCTACTAGAAGTTAGAGAACCAGCATCACAAGGATCACTAGACATATTCCCGGCGTATTGTTTCATTGTGCCCATTTTGCTAAAAATTAACTTTAAATGGCAAACCGAAAGTGAAAAATATCAATGCGAGACTTCTTTTAAAGATATAATATGAATTGCAAAATCTAATAAATCAAGCATGTGACTATGATTTAATTTTGATAACCTTTGATCTTCCATCACAATAAATTCGATTTTTATTAAAGGAAAATAATAATATAATATAAAAATAAAACAAAATTATGAAAATGGAAAGATGTTTTTTTATGTAACCTTTTTGATGAACGATGGTTGTTGGCTCCTTGAACTGTTTCACGATACCACGTACCGTTCGATAAAGAACGCACACTTTGTTGATATAACCATATTAGGGATTGTTGGGCCCACCGAAAAGGTAACGCACTTCGAACGCCATCACAAAACTGAATCCCACTATCCCACGATCGATTATGTCAACGTTGACTATATATTACATTCCAGTTGTCAAGTTCCGTTCGAAATTCTATAGAAGTTTCGAATATTTGAATTCTTCGAATAAAAATTATTTACTATTGACATATTTCTATAAAATCATTGTAAGTATTGAACGAATATATATGTTGTACCTCAAGTGTTGACTTGCCTCACCCGGGATACTAAATATAGAAATGATAAAGATGATCATCAGTAATGCTGCCCAGACATTATAAAAATGGGCCGGTAATTTAGGCCAGTTGAAATCTGAGGCAAATCAACACCTGACGCACAACATATATATATATGCCACATGCCACATAAGCTATGGTATATTTCATTTTAAATGATTATAATTTTCGAATAAGTTACATAAAAACCGCAGACATAAAAAAAACACAAATATTTTTTCGACTAAATATTTCGCGTCTAGAATACATAAAAGTATAATTCCTCTGTCGTAAGGTATTGTTATACGCAGTTCTTTATGTTTTCTGTTGAAAACGAAGGCAAAGGTTTAAATTTTTAATTTATTTTTATTAATAATAACGAAAACTAATCTAAAATAAGGTATTGCCTCAATCACTAAATAACAGTTTCGGGATTACAATAAATGCAAGGGGAAAAATATTATTTTAGGATACAATACAATCAAGCGAAATTTCACCACTTTTTATATTCGATAATTAATGAGGACTTGCAGATTGTCCATGAGTCATTTTGACCTCAGAACACATTGGCCGGTGATTAAGTTTTTGTCCGATCGGTTTTAGAAGTTTTAAACTAATTATTAAAGAATTATTTTTAATATATTTATTTTTTATCAATAAATCATCGAAAATTATCTTAAAAAATATTTAATGCTTGATATCGAAATCAATTATCGAAACAGATTTTTATTTTAATCTATAAAGGAATGACATATTTAGGATATTTTTGATTTAACAAAGACGGTTTAATAAATTTAATCACAAATTATAGTTCATTCATTTTATTTCAGAAAAAAGAAAGTTAAAAATAAAAGATCAACAAAAGATATTAAATAAATTTTTACAAAAATATCGTTTACATTATTAAAAAAGTGTCACATGAATGCTAATTTATTTTAAGAATAACATATAAGCACATAGCCATAGCTACATAGCTGCTTTATACAATTGAAAATCGATGTTCACGTTACGTATTACTAAAAATAAATATAACGATTGAATCAAATACAACTAAAATACAAATTAAGTGAAAAATTAAACTTTTTAGAAAATGATTATTGATAAATTACAATGTTAATCTCTTTTCTTTCTAATAGACAGAAACGGATTAACAGCATCTTAAGTTTGAAATTAGAAATTTAATAAGCATAAATTGATCAACTTAATCTTTTTAGATTATTATAGAATTCAAGTATTTTAATGATTTGTCCAAAATTAAATTTAATAATATTATTAATCATTTAAAATACATATAATATAGTATGTTATATTTTTAATACTGATTGCAAAATTCTTATTAATATAAGAAATTTAAAAATATAATAATTGTATTATTTCAATCATAACTCCTTTAAATAGTATTCTACACAGATCAGATCAGATCAGATTTAGGTAAAATCTGATTTGATCTGAATCTGAAAAATCCAAATTTGATTTAATTTGAATCTTACAAATCTGAATCTCACTGGTCGAAATCAAAAAAATCGGACATGTGATAAATCATCCATCAATCATCTGTCAATCAGATATAATCATCAATCAGCTAAAAATTAACCTAAATCAACCTATCTGATTATATGGAAGCTTTGCTATTAAAAGTGGATTCCGAGACTATAAATTGATTTTGAGTTAAATGATGATCAAAAAATAGTTACGCCACAATAAACATACTTGTCCAAT